GTTTGCCAGCACTTTTTTTTAGTAATGTTGGTGTCAAAAATTGCTAAGTTTCACATCGGGCTTATATCGAATCAATGATATTTGGATGAAATGGTTTGTAGGAAAGAGATAACAAATGAACCAGCAATTTCAATGATGTCTAATGAGAATTTTGGATCATTCATGCATGATATATGTGTTAATTTCGCTTATATTGATAGCATTCATAGTAACTACGTTTTTACCAAAAAGGTTCGCAAAGAAATGTCAATTAAACAACAATGGGGCAAAAGGTTTGGTATTATAAAGAAGACTCTTGATTTAGCGATCACGACAGGATGTTATGAAGAGTTATGTGAAATGCATCTTAAGTTAATGAAGGAAATAGAAATGCAACTCTTAACTAGGGATAGTCACAATATATTGGATGATGATCCTGCTCAGTTTGCGGCTACAGTAAGTAAACCCCGTTAGTATTCACCCAAAAGGCTGGAAGCCTAAAGATACGAAACAAGTATTATATAAAAGAGTAAAAGTGGGCAGTGCAAGTCAAATGGATTGTAGTGATACATCAAACATGCATAGAAACGAATTGCGAGACATTACAGCTATAACAAGTATGAATAAACTTTTTTTTCTTTTTTTCTTTTAAGTAAATGTAATATTATTAATTGTATTATATGTAAGACTTGGGAATAGATAATCTTACTAGTTGAGAAAATATATCTCGTCATTGTGGTATATGTGGTCAAGTAGGGCATAATGCTCATACATGCAACTCGGATGGCTCAAGCAATCAGATGGTCAATATGAGTCGGGAAAGCTATAATAATCAAAATGATGATTTGTCCTTGTCAACTACAAAACATATTGAAAATTCAAATTTTAAGAATGCGGATGTTGGTAAGTTAAGAATTATGTTATCCGGATTGAATAATCATATTAATACTAATGGTTATATATTGTAGTTGACAAGGATATTAATTATGAAAGTAAATCTCGTCATTGTGGAACATGTAGTCAAACTGGCCATAATGCTCGTACTTGCAACTCTGATAATTCAAGCAAACAAATGAATGGTTTGACTAGGGAATACAATACTAAGGAAAATGATGAAAATTCGAATTCAATGAGTATAGGTATGTTAAGATTTTGACATACTGTATAACAAAATGGATTAATTATGCTAACTCTTTAATTTTATGCGTATATTGCAGTTGACATGAATTTTATTAACAGTAAGCTTTGTCGTTGTGGTGCATGTGGCCTAACAGGTCATAATACTTGTACATGCAGCTTTAAAAATTAGTTTATAAGTATAAGAATAATGTATTTTAGTACTATAATTTGTTGAACTTGTGCATGTGTATGTAGCATTGCTATTGAGCTATACGTTTGCTTGTTTGTATAAGTGTGTTATATGTGTATTATATGTGTGTTGTTTTTGTTTGTCACAAATGTTTGTATCGT